GGATGCGGTGATTGATGTTATTGGCTGTGATGCACTAGAGACGGTTGTGCCAAAGGTGAATGAACAGGGCATTGTGGTACTGGGGGCGATGCGTGGGGAGTTGGTAACAGTTATCGCACGGCAACGCTGCAGTAATAGTAAAGAGATTGCCCCATTGAAGGTGCGATCTACACTAACAGGGAATGAGTTTACGGTGGAACCACACGAAATATGTCAGATGGCGAGTACACGGCCACGGTGATTAATAAGACACAAACAGACAATGTGTCAACACGCAAATATATATATGAGTATATCTGTGTATATTTTGTTATGCTGCGCTTCTCTTTACATTGGACTTGTAATGAATAGAAGAATATGAAAGGAACAGCCGTAGTTAAATCTCTCTCTTTTCTTTTCCTTCTTTTCCACCTAAAGGGAAACTTGTGTGTGAGGTTGACACCTACATAACTTTTAGTACAGAATAAGAAGTAAAAGAGAAAAGAAAAACAGTATGTGGAGTGAGGCCGATCACATACACACGCATAGTAACAGCAGTAGTTCCTACGTGGATGCACTCTCACACTTCCAATCACACCGCGGTCTCCGCACATCTGGGTACAAGTTGAGAAACCACTCACAGATTGTACTGGGCGATGGCCATCACAACAACAATACTCTTAATAACCATAATAACAGTAGTGGTGTTCTGCCTGTACGCCGGCGAGAGCGTGGACCGGGTAAAGAGTTTGGGCGGTTTGTTGAAATGTTTGGTTTTCCAGAGAAGCGACCGCAGCCGTTTTCACAGAAGCGTATATTTGTGGCATCTGCAACCCCAAGCAGCCTTCATGTCTTTCAGCGTACTGGTGAAGTGATGCTTGACAGCAATGGAAGACCATATCAACAAGAGGAATTGGAAGAGCATGTGAATGTATCCAGCACACAAGAGACAGAACTGTATGCAGACAATGTCACAATAGAGGAGACGGAAGAGCGCATTAAAATGCTGGAAAAACTCCTGATGCGTGAAAAGAAACGCCTACAGGTATTGAAGGAAAAACAAATGTTGCAGAATGTAAAAACAGTCTCTCCCGATATATTAAAACAACAACTAAAACAACAACAGCAAGAAGAAGAAGACCAGCACTGGAAGAGTGATATGGATGATGGATTATACAAAACACACAATCCGTTACCCTGCAGCCATACAGCCAGTGATGTTGAGAGTGGATATTCAGTACCAACATCATTACCAGCATCACACAATATACATATCAGTAGTGAGAACAATGCTCATGGGATTCGCATCTTGCGAAATCAACGAAGAGGCAATGATGATGATGAGGATGGTAATAGTTACAAGATTACACCCAAAATCACCGAGAATCCTTCACTATCTTCTCGTAGTAGAGAGTTCGTTTCACAGTCCAATGGGGATCAGCAAAGCTCCGCCAGTCCAACACCACCAAGAGAGAGAATAGCAACAGCAACTAGAGCCACAACTGCCTATGGGCGAAGTTCGTGGACACTGGCGAGGCATTATGCTGGGTGGCGGTGATATTACTTTTTTTTATTTTTATTCTTTTCCCTCTGTATAGTTAAATGGTTATTGTATTTTTACTAGATCATTTTGATTGGCTGTGATTTTATTTTTATTATTATTGTATTATTTTTATTTGTTATGAGACTATTTCTTACATTTTTTTTTTGTATGTGTTTCCTTAAGTATTTGATTTTAATTTTTACTTCAATTGTTTATCTGGAATGTATTTTACATATGTTTGCATGTGTGGTTATTCTTTGCAGTCTTTTTCCTCTTTTCGCTGTTGTGGATGGTTATATCGCCAGTCTTTTCATATGAGAGGCCGTGGTGGCTTTAGTAGAATGATGCCAGTGTGTAATGACAACACTGTGGCTTCTTCGTATGATGCCGAGCTCGCATCCACATTAGTGCAAAAACAACACAAACAACATTATCATCATCTGCAAAGGCCGAAACACACAGAAAGGGGAGAACCAATGTATGATGGATATGTAGTGTTGGACTTTGAGGCGACATGTGAGGGTGGGCAGCGTATTGCTGATCCGGAGATCATTGAATTCCCAATGATTCTCATAGATGCCCGTACTGGATGTGTGTTAGCTGAGTTCCAACGCTATGTGCGTCCTGTACTTCATCCAACGTTATCTACATTCTGCACAGAACTCACTGGTATTACCCAGTCGGTTGTGGATGCTGCAGAGACATTCCCTGCTGTGTGGAAGGCGGCGCTGGATTTTCTTCACCGTGCGGGATATGGTGGGGCCCCACCACTGCGTAGTTATCTCTTCGTTACGTGTGGAGATTGGGATCTGCAGACAATGCTGCCGAGGCAGTTGGAGATTACAGCGAGATATCATGATGAACACACATCATCTACTCCTGTGACCCCTCCTGCAACGTTTAAACGTTGGTGTAATATTAAGAAACTCATGCGGAGTCATTGTGGTTTTTTGCATGCACAACGTCGAATCAGTGATTTACCCGATATGATGGCTGTGTTGGGTCTTCACATGAAAGGGAGACACCACAGTGGGATTGATGATTGTAGAAATATCGTCTCTGTCCTGCAGCGGCTTATGTGTGATGGCTGTTGTATAGCACCAACCACAGATCACAGTGGATTGCAACAGTGGATGGGTTCTCTTTCAAATGTATCGGCACCAATAACATCCCTCGTCTCCGATAAAGAACCATCATCATCATCATTGTTATTATTATCATCCGAACAGCAACAGCAACAACAACAAGAAGAAAAAGAAAAAGAAAAAAGAGAAGAGATGGTAGCCGATACCAAACGTACGTCAGAGGAGGAAAAAGATGTGAAAGAGAGGAAACGACAAAAAGATAGATTACAATCAAAGCCGCTGGTAAAAGAACGGATGCATGTTAACATTTTAACAGATGTGGATCCACTACCCACACTACTGCAAGGTTGTACATTATCAGAGTCTGAGAAGATCACATACTCAAAGGCCCTTTCACGCATTCTCCGTCATGCTGCCGATAGTATGGGAATCCCTATTTCTAATGAAGGATATGTACGTGTAGAGGACTTAATAAAGAAGAAGCCATTTTGCAATAACCCTCAAGCTGTTAAACATATTGCTTTTGTGGTGCATACCAATGAGAAGCAGCGTTTTAAAATGGCATATGATGAAGATCATCATCTTTATATTCGTGCAAATCAGGGACATAGTATGGATGGTATTAACCCAGAGTTGCAACGCATTACCTCCAGCGTTGCATTGCCAGATACTATTGTTCACGGAACATATCATAACGCGTGGAAAGAGATTCGTGCCTGTGGGTATCTATCTACTATGAGTCGTCAACACATTCACTTCGCCAAGGGTCTTTCCAAGAGTGATGGTGTGATAAGTGGTATGCGGGGCAATGTGCAGGTGTTGTTGTATCTGGATGTGGACAAACTTCTTGCAGATGGGATTGAGTTGTGGGAAAGTGCAAATGGTGTTGTTTTAACGCCTGGTGTGGGACAGACGAAACGGCTGCCGCTTGTATACATTGCTCGCGTCGTTGACAGAGAGACAGGTGAAAATCTTCCGTTTTGAGAAGTAATCTTTTTTCTTCTTTTCTTGTTGTTTTTTTTTCTTGTTCTGCAGTAGCTGTGGAGAAACAGAGTAGATGAGTGTTTTTTCTTTTACTAATTGGATGGAGCAAAAGAAGAGTAGGAGAATCATGAAGAGGACCATACATCTATCTCTCTCCACTTGTGTTGTGAGGAAACTGTTTTTTTTTTTTTTTTTCCTCCTTTATTAATAAACTCTATTTGTGATGCGAATGTGTTTTATTTCTTTGTTTTTCTTTCAATTTTTTTTTTGTATTTTATTGTTTTCATTTTTTGTTATTGTTATTGTTATTGGTGTTCCTTCTAAGTCGATGAATATGAGGGAATGTTCAAACACAATGCCTAGCAATACCAATAGAGAAGAACATGGAGAATGGTATGATTGTGATGTATCCCTTCAGCCTCCCCATCGTGTCCCACTTGACAGAATTACCGTTTTTGATACGTTTTCATGTTGTTACGTGATTGGCACAGATGCCACGCGGCGTGAATGCCGTGTACTGGAGTTTAATAAGTCTAACAGTAACACTTTATTGTATGAAGACAGTACATCATATACCTCTGCAGATGTAAAAGATATTATGGCACGTTTTAATGGAAAGGCTAATACCCGTGTAATACGAGGCATTGCTTTATTGGGTTGTGTTCGTTTTACGAAAGGGTATTATTTACTATTAGCCACACGACGTCGATTAGTGGCACGATTGGGATTTCATCGTATCTTTGAAGTAACAGATATTGAACTTATTTCTTTATGTGCACCTGTAACACCCGTTGCCGTAACCGTTGCAGAGGCATCACCACTTCTACAAGCTCGTACGGTGGAGGATTATTATCGAAATCAATTTCTTGCCGTCTCACTAAAGCAGAATTTCTACTACTCCCACACATATGATTTAACAAACACACTACAAGTGAATATGTCTGTGCCATATAGTAAACGTAAGGTCCGTAACAAATTTGTATGGAATGAATTTCTTCTAGAACCTTTTTTTATACCCTTTACGGCACGTAGTACCCCAACAGAGGGTGAGGCTCTCCTTTCACCTGCTGGTATTGGACGATGGATGGTGTATCTACTACATGGCTCTATTGTACAGTGTCCTTTATACTGTGTTGGGCGTCACGTACGCATTACACTTATAGGACGTGTGAGTAAAAACTTTGCAGGTGCACGTTACTTACGTCGTGGTGTGAGTAGTGATGGTCATGTTGCCAATCATGTGGAGGTGGAACAAATTGTGATGGATGAATCTACTTTACACACACACTATACAAGGGGAGCCTTCTCATCCTATGTACAGGTGCGAGGATCTGTGCCACTTCACTGGTTTCACCCACCAACACAGTTGCCAAAACCTCCAATTAAATTGGGTGTTTCGGATTTGTATTACACAGATACACAGAAACATTTCCAGGAATTAATAGAGGATTACGGTGTACCAATAATTATAGTAAATCTCCTTCGGCAACGTGAGAAACGACCTCGTGAAAGTATTCTTGGTAATGAGTATCGGAAGGCGGTGGCGACACTGATGGGATATACACGTGATAATTCAACTGAGAAAAGGAAGGTAACAGATAGCGAGAGTGAAAAGGTGATGAATGTTAAGGAGGAAAATAAAAGAGAAAAAGAAGAAATTCTTTTATATTATGAATTTGATATACGTGAGTCAGCACGTGATGCATGGAATAACACAACCGCCATAGCTGAGGAGTCTCTTAAGAAGACTGGATTCTTCGCTTGTCATAGCAGCGGTCATAAGGCTCAATGGCAGGAAGGTGTGATACGCAGTAATTGTGTAGATTGCATTGATCGTACTAATCTCGCACAGTTTTTTTTTGGTCTCCACGCATTGGGACATCAATTACATGCATTAGGTATACTTTACTCCCCTGTGGATCTCGCACTATCACCTGATGTTCAAAATCTTCTATTACGTATGTTTCTTCTTATGGGTGATGCTATAGCTGTGCAGTATGGTGGTTCCCCACAGGTGGGTGCTGGTGTGTTGAACAGAGGTACTGGATGGGATAAAATTATGGGAATTAAACGTCTATACAATAATATGGTAAGTGATCGTGAAAAACAATCTGCGTTAAATATTTTTCTGGGACGTTATCAGCCATACCCTAATCCATATTCCACTGCATGTAATCCTGTCATGCGTATCCCTACTACAGCATTTGGTGCTGTGGTTACCAATAACAATGATAGCCGCAGAAACAGTTTCAGTAACAACAGTAATAGTAATAGTAATAGTAACAACGATAATAGTGATAGTGGGGTGGCAGAGTATTTACGTTCATCTATGCAAAATATGAGCGTTTGGTTTGATCGTAATGATATTCGCGTTAGTCGAGTTGTAGACCTTTCTGAGATTGAGTCTGATTACTACTTGCAGGTGAAGAGTGCTCCATCCCTGGCTAGACCTAAAAATTCAAGTACTTGGTGGAAAGAAGCTTTACAACGTTTTCACCATTCTATGTGTTACCAAAATACACCGTTGCCCTTATTATCATCTCCACTATTGTCATCATTATCGCTTTCAGTGCCTAGTGTGTGGGATTCACAAGATAAGGAAAGGGATGAAATTATCCGTAGTATGTGTCTGAGAGAACGTGCTGCTACTATGGGTTTGGACCTTGATAATGATATGGATGAAGTTATCACTAGTAATACAGTGCAAGAAGAGGAAGTATTTCATCTGGAATCGACTACAATAGTGAACACACTTGTGCGGCACATGACCATAATCCCTTCTCCATCTCTTTCTAAAGAAACGACAGAGTGTGTGTATGGTCTCATGGATCATGGTGAGGAAAAGGAAGAGGAAGAGGAGGAATGTGTCTATCATAAAAGTGAGGATGCATTGATTGGGTTTGTACACAATCATTCTACCTTTCCAGATGAAGTTCGGGCGAGTGTTTTTCACCAAGACATTGAAGCCGTACGACACATGAGTGATGATTGTGAACCCCTGAAAGATTTACGCCGCATGCAACTAGAAGTGTTATCTATGTATGGTGATCCAGTGGATTGGAATGCAGAAATGCTTATAGAGGCTTTAACAGAGGTGGAACCAGAAGTGAGTCCTCCGACAGTAAATTACTTGCGAAGGATAAATGTGGATAGGAATGTGTTATTGTACAAGTTGCCCATAGATTGTATGGAGCAAGGGGAGTTACTCCAACGCTTTTCAGATCTTGTGCGTCAAATACCTCAAAGAGGTTTGGAAACTTCTGTACATTTCCAAACCGCTGAATTTGACAAACTGGTTGAAGAAATGCAGTCTGTGTATATTGGCAACAAGGATGATCACAATAATAATGATATTAATAGTAATAATACTAATAGTAATACTACTAGTAATAATAATAATAATAATAATAATAATAATAGAGGTAATATTGCTTTCCCTGATGCTACATGCCGTCTTTTGCAACCCTTCTTTAAAGAGGCGGTGTATCCTACTACAATGGCTACAGTAGTGAGAAGACTGCTTCGAGAAATGACCGATGCGAATAGTGGTGTACCTCGTAGTGATCGTTTACGTTATCGTGAAAAGGCTGGTCCACGTGTACCACACGCTCTTGTGGTATTACAGTGTTTTACTGCGAAGGAACTGCATTTGTGGTTAATATCTGAGTCAAGGCGTTTAGGACTCACACTGCACGAACATGTTGAACCACATGAAGCCTCACAAGCGGGATGGAAGTTTATGCTTTGGCTTGCACATGCTAATCTCATTACACAAATTATTACAAAACCGGACTTTGGAGTTGTGGTTCATCCTCCAGTAAAAGCAAGTGATTTCACATCCCGTACAAAATTATTTACTTTACCTTCTCTGGAGGAAAGGTATATTCTCAACAAGAGAATATCATCTAGAGGTGCAGAACTTACATTTACACGAGAAGAATCTGCTGGAGTGGCTCTATCTTTGCTTTCCCACTCAAGTATTATTGCCTATACGGTATCATTGGTAAACCTGGCTTTTGGTTTACTTTCTTCAGTACAGGAAATGACAGTAACTGCTGGAGGTGATAACTCCAAGGACTCTTCCATTCACACCTTATTGGAAAGACTGTTGACACTTAGTACACATCTTGTAAAAGTTAATATTTTGGCTCTTCAACCACGTGATCGTTGGTGTTTCTGGGTCAATGTGTTTAATACATTATATATCCACGCGTGGTTAGTAGCCCCTGGACAACGTGCTCAGGATTATAAAAGTTTCTATACTACCAATGGATATGATATTGGAGGATACTTCTTTTCTTTAAATGACATCAAAAATGGTATTCTTCGTGGGAATAAACCCCCACCTTTTGCACTTTTGCCTCCTTTTGAGAAGGAGGATCCTCGGCACTTATTTATACCAATAGAGTTTGGGCCAAAAATAGGAAATGAATATAACGACATTTTTGAAAAAGGAAACACAACAACAACAATAAGAACAACGTTAGTACATCGTATTCAACGTCAAATTCTATTGGCTCTTATCGACACTTATTTACTACCCAATAACTTTGAGAATATCTCTTCATACAACCCGCGTACAATCTTTGAGGAAGAAGAAGAAGAAGGGCAAATAGGTATGGACCATACAGTATCAAGCATGGATGTACCAAATACAAGTGTGGACCCTGAGGATAGTGAAAATGATATTCCATTTGATACTGGAGATGAAGATCTTGACATGCAAGAAAGCACACATTTAGCTAAGAGTATGCTGCAACGGGCAAGTGGATTATCTATAGGAGCAACATCATGGTTTGCTTCATGGTTTGCAAATCGTTCATCTAATAAAAATGTAACATTCACACATCCATGCATTCCTCTTACATCTGAGGTATTCTCAGAACAACTGAACACCATTGAGGGTTACGTATGGCGTTTACTTAACCATCCCACACAAGTGATGGTGACCCGCAATGGTGTTCAGGTACCACACGCCGTATTACAATTACTTCTGTACCCTGAGGAATTTGGTTCTAGTTGTGATGAAATAATTCGATTACTACAACATCACTCACACACCAATGCAACAGGAACAAAACGAAACACTTCTACCATCATTAATATTTCAGAAAAAAACTCTCCATTTGCTCCAAGGAAACATTAAAACTAGAAAAATAAATCTCCATTTGTAAAATTTACCACCACCACAACAACAAGAACAAATATTCCAAAACAAGTGTAAAACAAATTATAAGTTTATCAGTAATTAGTGTAAACAAAAAAATGACTTTTTCTTTCTTCTTCTCCTCTATTTCTCTACTATTCTTAGCATGAGAATATAGAACCGAAATAAAAAGAAAGAATAATTATTTTTTTGTGATAGATTTAGACTTTTTTTTTTGGTTTTCGTGTCTTTATGGGTTTTACCCCAATGACGCGAGCCATCAACAGCAAAGCATATATATATATATAGAGATATATGTATATAATTTTTTTTTTTATTTTTATTTTCTTTTTTCATTGTATTTTATTACCGTTGCGCAGAGGAATTACGCATTGGTAATGAGATTACAATGGATCTCGTAGGTGGCAAAACATGGATTTTTTCGTCTCTCTGAGTCGCCTCAGCGGCTAATCCAATTTCCACCACTGGAGGGCATAATTGTTACTATCTCTAGGGTCCGTGCCACTCCTTTATCAGCAGCATTCACACTAAGGTGAATTATGTAAAAGAAACTACTGCTGATGGCACGCCGGCATGCGTCCCAGGAGCTTCTTGGATAAAGTTTTCTCCCAGCACGACTCTGCCGGGCCCGGTGCTGCATGACGTTTGTAGCTTATTGAACCAGTAAACTCTACAGAAGAGAGATACTGACCCATGGCTTCCCTGCAAAAAATATACGAGGTAATGGACCTTGGCTTAACTTTTCGAGGGTAAAACGTCACCAAGGGGGTAGTATTATGAAGAACGCATGTATTGAAAAGAAAAGAAAAGAATTTGGTTTTTAAGGAGACCACCTCCTTCAAAGATTTAGTGAGTACATTTAGTTTCCTTGAATAAATTCAAGTACTTAACCTTGGTACCTCGATAAGGTAGCACATCCTTACCAAGGATTTTTTTTTTTTATATTCTTCTTGTCTTAATGGATATTACTCCAATGGTACGGCTATCAACCGTACACCGTGGAGCACCTAGTTACTGGCTTACGAGTGGCTCCGAAGAGGAAGAAGATCCCTTCGTTTTAGAAGATCCTCAAGCTCTTGTAATATGATTTTTTGTTGTAGCCCTTTCCCATACGAGAGAACCAATCCAAGAGAAATCTGATCGAGCATACCAGATCTCTCTACTCTCACTGTTCTTACCCAAAACCCGTCCTCAAGTCTCCTTTTTGTTATTATTTTTGGTTTTTTTGCGAAAGATTGGCCTCAATGAACTCCTATTTATTTTGTTGTTTGTTTTGGTCGGCGACAGACGTCTTGAGCTTACTCTTCTATCAAGGTTTCCATATTCGAGCTCGTCGCTGATTTTAGAGAGGTGGGGAGGCCTTACAGAGGGGGAGGTAGGCTGTGTAGGGTTTCTCTTGGTTGTGAAAACTGTGGCATAGTGTAGTTCCACTCCACCGCAATAAGGAACTGTGCTAACCGCTTAGAAAAACATGATTTCATCAGGGGTACATCATCAACTATAGCAAATTGAACTCGCAGTGGATGAAGAGCGATACAACTCAAGAGGTGCAGAGCTGTTTCGTCGCATTCGTCGCGTTGACTGGTGTGCGCACGAGTGGGTTGATACCCGTGACGTGACATTCGGTGTAGAGTTAGGCCTGATTTACTCATACACATTGACGACCCACATGAGGGGCAGACTAATGCCGGAAGGTCTCTTGTTTTCGTTGTTTTGTATTGCCCATTGGTGGAATTCGATTTTTGTTTTTGTTGTCATACCCTATCCATCATGGAATTTTCTGCAGTGGATGACGAGGGAGACTAGGTAGGCATAGAACTTCTGGCAGACTCCACATTGGACTTTTTCTCTCTGTCCTCACGCTTCGGTGTTGGCGACGTATCTCGCTGGCGTTTTTTTTTTATTTCGCTGGAAACGTTACTTGTATTATTGCTGACAAAATTAATGTTCCAGTATTTGGAATTTAAAACCAAATATTTTTATAGAATACTAACCAATCACCCTTATGGCTCCCATAGCTCAGTCGGTTAGAGCGTGGGTCTAATAAGCCCAAGGTCACAGGTTCGACCCCTGTTGGGAGCATTTTTTTCCGATCTCATTACTCCTATAAGTTATAGTAATTTTTCCCTTGCGGATGTACACTCATTTTTTTTTTCTTCTTCAACCCAGTCTACTACTCACTGACACAAAAGGTAATCAAACGAGGTGCTAAGTGCAACAAAACAACATCACCGTAATAATACAGTACAACGACAGTTATTATGATGATGATTATAACGAGGATGACAAACCTGTGTTGACTGTCATCACTCTTGTTGCTGGTAGTGGTTGTGTGTGTCTGAAGTTATTGCAAGATATGCATAACGCCCCGTCTTGTTCTTCTTCTTCTATTCCAATATCTACTGTTGTGGAGCCACATAACTTGCGTGTAGTGGAAGATGAAACTCCTTTCTCTGTTGGTGGTTTCATGACAACTTCTGCAGAGACCATCTTGAACAGTGCCCATAATGTGCGACCAGGTGATAATTATGTGTCTTCGATGTCCTCCACCAACAATGACTCGTCATTTGACTGTTCATTCTGTTTCTCCGGTTGATGTTGTTGCTGCTGCTGTTGCTTCTTCTTCCGGTTCTTCTAGTACTGCTGGCATGCAGTTTGTGAAGGAGACGGATCTCACCGAGGAGGAGAAGCTGTACGG